GACCGAGTTTTCATACAGTAAACCTCGTCGTTACTGTTGTGACCCTCCATGAGGCATCGCACCTGAATGCGCATCGAGTCCTGAGTAAAATGAGATCTTCCCGGGCTTTCCAGTGTCTCTCTAAGCTGAGTTATTAGCAAATCTCTTAAAGGATTTCGGATCAGCCGGATCTCTGAAAGCAGAATGGTCTTATCTCAGCCTGGAGATGTGCTAAAAGGCTCGTTATCAACAAATCAGACTTGGAATATCACTCTCTGCGCCAAAACCAATACTCTCCGATGTCGTACAAGGGTCAGTACTCGGAGCTTTGCTTTTTCTTATCTTCATTAATGACCTACTGTCTGTAGTACAGGTATCAACAGACAGTATTGATGATTATACGCTGTACTGTCCCATTACTTCTACACACTTATCAATATTTTGTCAAGACAATATTGACAAAATATGCGATAACTCGAACTTAATGAATCTAAACGCAAACAAATGCACTTGACTTTTCATATCTAACAATCAGGGAAATCTCTTTCTGACACTGTAGTTATTGCGTTATCGGCAGGATCCTTTAAGTCCAAGCCCAAACAGTATCTATCTACAGATGTGAAAGGGGAAAAGAAAAATGTAAGGTGACAAGTTTTATAGGTGCTTTTGGCTTTCCTGGCAACATGAGATCGTATGTGTAGTTCTTTGTTCCATGAAAAAGAACCTTGAAATTAGAAAAGGTTTTTTTTAAAATGATTTCTTTTTTCTTTTTTTGTATGCCAATATATAGTTGCAAAATAAAATCAATCAATCAATAGCAATGGATGAAATAATGTTTAGTTAATAGCAAAATACACTTGTCTTTTTTTATTTGTTTCGCAACAGAAATAGATCATCACAAGCAGAATAAAAAATATTTCGAGTTAGCCATCTATTTTGAAAAAATTGTAAAAGAAAAACGTTTTATGAAAACGACATAGTCCAAAATTTGTTTAAGAACGCAACAGAAAATAAGAACAGTTAATAATGATGAAAAACAAATTACCTAAGATAAAAAAAGTTTGATTTTTTGAATTTGTCTTTCTCGTTAATAGAAAAAAAACCTTAAAAGTTTAAAAAAGTGATTATTGAATTTCGGTGATGAGAGTATACTTTTACTTAAGTATAAACCAAAAACAAAATTATAGATTTTGAGATAAGAGAGAGAAAGATTCGGGATATTTATAAAAATAAAAAAGGATTCACACACACTCAATATATATATTTTCTAGTGTTTCCAACGTTTTAGTTCTTCTTCTAAATCATCAGTATTATTGAAATTGTTTATCGGTGACGATATAGCACTTGTAAATAGCTTTTTTGATTCAACCAAATTTATGGTACCGACAGCATTCGACAGACCATCTATATTACGAATATTACTACCGGTAACCAGATGACTCGGACCATTACCATCGCCATCATCTTCTTCGAAATCCTCATCGTAATTACTAGAAATACAACATGCTAGTATTCAAAACCAAAAAGGATGTATTAACAGTATAGAAAATGCTCATTATTCAAAATATTTGAAATGTATATTTCGATGTTATGTATATTTCCCGTTATGCAGTAAGTCTTGATACAAACTAAAATGTATATTTCTCTACGAAAAACTCCTCTCTCAAAGTACGTGTAATTTACAATTTGCATTTTCTATGCTTTTCTATTATTTTTCGCTGTACAGTACTTCAAATTACTGATGTTTTGTTTCTCTGGTTACAAATGCGTGTCGAATATAAACAGTGATTAATGATACATTTCTCTCATCAAACCGTATTTGATGCCAAAATTAGTGTAGACACTCTATCAATTTCTTGTGGCTCAAATATACATCATTCGATGAAGAATTTAACGCTGATCACGAAGTTTCTACTTTTTAGCCTTCCCATGGCACGTTTTCCGTTAAAAATTCAAAAAACTAAAATTTGCCGTGTTTTCGAAAAATCTCTAATTTTTGAAAACACCGTTATATCTATCTCATTTTGGTCTGGTTCTGGAACCTTGAAAAAGTGTTTTTCTTGTTCAGTGTCGAAAACTGCATACAGAAAACCATGTTCCGGGGCTGCGCAAAGTTGAAAGACGTCAATTTTTCAAAGATAGTGACCCTTTTTTTTGAAATTTCTTTCCCTTGCTGAAAAAGTTCATTTGTTCTAAATCGTAGCCGAAAAGGTCAGAATTCTGCTCCTAATTCTCAATTTTCTCCATCAGAGCTCAACTTTTATGCAGTGAAAATATTATATTCGGAACCAGGATCAAAAACGGAGTCGACCAATCTGTATTTCCATCCTATCCAACTACTTTAGTTTTTGTCGAATTTTCACGTTGAAAAATAAAAATTATCAAGATTTACACCAAAAAATAAAAATCAATTAAAAATTTCGAAATATACATCAGTCGACTCAGTTTTTGATCCTGATTCTGAATATAATATTTTTACTGCATAAAAGTTGCGCTCTGATGGAGAAAATTGAGAATTAGGAGCAGAATTCTGACCTTTCCGGCTACGATTTAGAACAAATGAACTTTTTCAGCAACGGAAAGGAATTTCAAAAAAAGGATAACTATCTTTGTTCTACGCTTCTCGAATTTCTCGAAAAAATGTCTTCGTTTTCTTGTGTATTACGAATTTCTGAGACTCTTGGAAAACGGCTAATAAATTGAACGAAAAACAATAGAAAAGCATAGAAAATGTAGATTTCAAAATACACGTACTTTTTGAGACAAAAGTTTTTTCCATAGAGAAATATACATTTTAAGTTTATGTGGCAGCTTATTGTACAAAAATTACTTACATATCGTCCATGTTTTCATTTCCACCATCTTCATGTGTAAGATTGTCATATTCAGTTTCAGCAAATTTAATCCAATCGGATACTTCGGGTAAATCTGGATCCTATCACAGTAAAAAACAGAAATAATTCAATTCATCAATTATTGATCTGACTATTTTGTTACCTTAACATTAGAAAATGGATCTTTTTGTTCATTATCAAGATATTTTTCAAGGTTAAAAAATGTATCAAAGAAAACATTTGTCAATTTACAACGTTTTAAATCTTTTAGACGTATTTTATTTTCCTCTTCTGGTTTAACTAAATCCAACATTTGACATATGGTATCTTCAAATGGCATATATTCAATTCCGTATGTTTCCATTTTATGTACTTGTTCTTGATAAAAATAATCTAACTCAAACATTGATAATACACCATCACCATCCAGATCCATACAACGAAACCAAAATTCAATACTAAACATACAAATTCAATCATTTTATCATTCATTCATTATTGATTTCTGTCTAGACTAACCTTGTCGGTGAACGTTTATCTTCTTCCGATATAAGAAACCAAACAAATTCGTAATAGGACATTTTTCCTTCTCTCATATTTTCACTACTAGAAAATATTCAAGGATAAATTTAGTCATTTTTGAACTGTTTGTTTTATTCGTCTGATTAAAAGAAAATAAAAACAAATAATTTACTTTGATATAGCACCAGAAAATATTCGATCAATCATCTTGTTTGATATAGCTAAACAAACACATATTGGTTAAATTCATAGAATTTATGTACAATTTGTCTGTGCATACCTCCATTATTATGTTTGGCAAGATCATCACGACTAATAAATAAATCGTGATCACTATCTAATTCCCAAAATTTACAATAAATAACATAAAAATGTTCATAAGAAAAGTAATCATGTATTCGATTAATATCTTCTTCTTGTTCAATACGATCGAGCATCTAAAATTTAATGTTTATTCTATAATTTTATTTAAATAACCAGAAAATTCTAATATTCTAATACACATATAATTATTCATCATTGAAATTAATAATTGTCCATCTTTTTTGATATATAGAGCGCAAGAGGTAAAAGTAAACTTAAAGATCCTCTAGTTCTCATACAGCAAGCACAAGCCCGATTCATACGTAGTATACTAATTTTGAATTTTTTCGTTAGCTTCTAGTCAACAAATCTTTCATGACTTTTGGACTTTTATGACAGCTGTGACTGGTATGAATAGACATGTACCGAGTAATTGACTAAGGAATTTATATTTTTTCTAAAATCATTTCGTAAACTGCTTTGTTAAAACTTTTTTGACTCGGTAAGAATGTAGAGCAAACATTTCTATAAAAAAATATGAGAGATATGACAGATCTGTATGATTTGTTTTGAGATTTTGGCAGCGATACTCCATAAGGGACTTCGCGTTTATTACTCGATTGTGTGTCCTTGAGCTATCGCTGCCAAAACCTCAAAACAAATCATACAGAGCTGTCAAACCTCTCATTTTTTACAGAAATGCTTGCTCTACATTCTTACCGAGTCAGAAAAGTTTTAACGAAGCAATTTACGAAATACCAGGTTTTTGAAAAAATATATGCTTAGGTATGACCGTTATAAGAATTGTATAGACCATATGAGTCTTAAAAGTTATATGGATCACACTAATCATAAGAATAGCAGATATTTACATGTATATCTCTACGTCTATAGGTATGAACAGTTTATGGATATCTACTATTCATGTCTTCAGATAGAAATTCAACATTTTTTGCTTTTAGACAAACGCTGTCCGAACTCCATGCCTTTAGTAGATTTTTTCAGCAAAATGATACGTCTTCAAGCTCTTCATGACCTTTTTTTACAAAACTGCATTTTATTCGAGAAATTCATTCTTCAAACTAACAACACGAACACCTCATCAAAAGTAGCAATAAATTACTATCTGTAAAAAACCAATGAATTCGATCATTTTTTGAATAACTCTAAATAATGAACAGTTAGAGAAATGCTGTTTTGTGAAGAAAGGTGATGAAAATCTGAGAGATGTTTCATTCAGTGTTAGGGGATTTCAAAGTATTTCGCGCAGGAACTGGGATTTTGATTTTCTAGGATTTAGGTTTTCCAAAGATCCTAACTCTACAACATCGGGATTTTTCTCCCACTTTTGTCCAACCGTCGTAGTTTGTGAATAAAACCAAAATTAGTAAACCGACTACTATTTTGGCCAATATCATAATTTCAAATTTTTAATCATCAGTTTTTAGTTCAATTTTCTTACCTGTAAAAAATTACTTCGACGAAGCTCTTTTTCTGTCAGTCTATTTGACCATGACCGATTTACATTATAATAAATACGAGCAATAACCTAAAATTATCATTAATTGTTTCATACAGAGAGCAAATATTATATGCACTGATAATACGAACAGTTTTAACGTAGCGAGTATGAAATTCTTTTGCTTCACGCAAAAATTTTAATCCAGGATGTGTGTCAATAATATCTTGTATAAGAAATTCCCAATCATCAATAACAAGGTAATTTATATTTGGTTTTAATGCCATTAAACGAATGAATTTTGATGCATTATCCGTGTACTCTTTACAAATCCTTCAACGAGAAAAAAGAAAAATATATATAAGAAATGAGACTAAAAATTCATAACTTTCTTACATCGTCCAAAATGTTTCAAATTGTTGGTAGGTAACATAATTGGGTGTAACACTTTTTATGATATTCGCCAGATCTTGTACACAAGCACGAAATAAGGGTGCTTTCCAATATAAACTAAGGCCAAGAAACTAATGAAAAAAAATAAACGCATTTATAATAGATGAAAATTAATACTTCTTAATGAAAACGCGTACAATTCGAATTTCTTGTAGCGATATAAAGTACAATCTTTCATCTACAAAGTTTTAATTAACGAACAATCTGAGGCATCTGATAAACATTAAAAATTAGTTGTTTTTTGCTATAAAACATAGCTGGTTCAATTCTTGGCTTTTACTTAGATATGAGGCAAACCTTAAACATAATATATCCGTTGTCTCAATGTTAAACTGATTATACCTGTGCAACTGCTCCAAAATCTTCGAAATATAATTTATCATTTTTCTTCTGAAATAATTCATCTTTAATTTTTTGTAATTGTTTTGTTATAGTATCAGTCGTATTTGTTTCGATATTCAACCCATTTGGAAAATAAAAACGTGGTATTATTAATGTTTTTTCATTTACTTCTTGTTTTTGTTCTGAACTTGTACTGATATCTGTTTCTTTTGTTCCACTAGTAGATTCTTTTTGCGGTAGTAATATGCGTTCACTATGAATTATCTTATCTGTTGTACTAGTAATTGGTGTTTGTTCTTGTTGTTTATCGACTGTTATTTGTGTGAGAGACTGAGATGTTTGTTGTGATTTAACAATTTCAATAGAAATATCCTTGCTGTTAATTGTCGTTTGTGCTGTCGGTGATTTTGAATTTGTAGTTGATCGTGGTGATGATATTTGTCGTTGTTCACGATGGACATCAACGAAACGATCTCGAAGTGATGCAACACTATTGTTATTATTATTTGTTGTTGGTATTACTACTTTTGGGCGTGTTGTATTTATCACTGCTGACTGTGGTGATAGTATTGAATGCACATCGTGCGGTAAAGATGATCGTGCTGGGGATAATGCTCGTTGCTGTTGTTGTTGAACTTTATCCCGTGGAGATATAGAAACAGTAGGCGAAGACGACAACTGATCTTTTAATGCAGTGGATGCAGGCGAATGTGTTCTGGTGCCGATGTTATCAATAGGTCGTGTGATGCTATGCTGATGATCACCACTCCCAGATACCGGAACTGATTTCACGATTTGTGATGAGTTTTTTTCGATCGAAACCTGAAACAAAGAGATAATAAGAAGTTTATTAAAGCAAAAACAAAAACAATATATACTCTGATCATGCTATAAAATTGCGCATGAAAACTCAGATTAAGAATTTTTACGACAAGTAGAAACCAGTTTTGCAAGCGAATATTTTATATTTTCAAGGTAGAAGAAAATGAGTTTCCAAACTACCTTGTCAATACAATGAAGTCATAATATACATAAAGATGTTTTACACAATATTGAACAAGAAGAAGTACTGACAATAAATCAAATGATATCAAGTGGTATACATAAGTTATCAATTGTGATTATCTCTGACTTACTGTTAGAAATATGACTAGAAATAATATTCATGCGCACACACAACACTTCGGATTTACAGAATAAAATATATCAACGCACTCACATGCATTTATTAACAGCAACAACTATTAACAACGACAACACTAGAAAAAATACCTCTGGACTCGTAAATTCTCACCTCTGGTATAAAGACGGCTGAACGATGTTGTGGCGGCAACGTTTGATTTAGTGTTCCATTTGCACTGTTACCGATAGAAGATCTTAATGGCCATACGGCCTCTGGATGTGTAAATTTTTGTCTTATTTGATGTTGAATATGTTGTTGAATTTTATCAGCTGGATAACGTTTTTCAAATACAAAATTAATGTGAGATTTAGGTATTTTTGGACTTATTGATATACGAGCCAAAGGTGTTGAGACAGGGCGGCAAAAGCCTTTGAAAGCACAGGTAACAACAAAAAAGAATTACATAACTATCAGTTGATAGTTCATTTTCTATCGTTTTTTCTACCTTTATGAATAGCATTACAGTAACGACCGTAATATCGACATTGTTCACAAAAATGTATTGAACGACGACGTTTTTGATCAATACGTACATTAAAATAAAGACATGTACTTGTGCGTACAATTTGACATGGTACACTATTTACGGTCATGTTTTATTTCACAATTTTGATAGTGTAAACAACATAATCATTCATTCATTGTTCAACATAGAAAAATCAAAAACATAAAAAATTTATTTTTAATGAAATAAGCAATTGGAAAACAGATTTAAGCTTATTAATGGTGATATAATTTCTTTTCGTGTCTAGATATTCATCAAATCTTAAGTTAAAAAAAGCAAACAAAACTTTTTGTATATTATCAAACATAAAAATAATTAATTAATTCTTTAACAACATATCATTCTACTAATAAACGCAACTGCTAAGGGTACGCAGTTTTCCAGTAGGATTTCTGTCAAACTGAAACTATAAGTCACAAAGACTTGATGTTTTCAAGGTTAATTAAAAATCATCCTTTTGCTTTTGATCCTACAAAATGGTTAAAATATCTGAAAAGTTCGATCCATTACGAATCTGTGTAAACTTTATTTGATTGGGCTCAATGTTTTCCACGAATATTTGGCAATATTTCTATGACTAACTTTTCTAGCCAGTGACTTCAGTAAAAAAAACGAAAAGATGTTCCATTGAGTTTTTTTAATTATGCTTAAAAACATCAAGTCTTCATTGTTTGTAGTTTTAGTTAGGCAGAATCCTTATCAAAAGTCCTAGGCGTGAGTATGGATGCTCAACAACTATCAGTTTAAAGGCTGATTTTAGTACTAAACATGCTAAGATATTTGTTATGATTTTACTTTGAACAATTTTACAGTGAACAAAGTACAACAATATTAAACCTCAATTAGTGATTGATTACGTTGCTTAAAAACAAAATAAAATAAATTTCATTTTTGTAATACGAACTTTTTTTGTTCAGTCTTTCAATTTACTAAGCGATATATCTAACATTATCCTTCCATTTCTATTTTATAATAGAAGCTATTGCACACTCCATTAGATCTATAGTAGTAACATCGCTTTCTTGGTCGACTTAAATGTGTTCGATCTTTTTTTCTTCTTTTATTACTTTCGCTTACAAATTGTTTCCTCTTTTTCTTTATATTGTATTTCGTTTTTCCTTTTACATTTAAAGTCGCACGTAAAATACGATAAGCCATTCTAAATGAGTTGAGTGAGTTAGTGAGAGAAGTCTAATACTTAATCTGATAAAGATAAACATTTACGATACAAAAGCATTTCTCATAAAAGAAAAGAGCAATGGTCGAGAAAAAAAGTGTTATCAACAAACTACAAAGACTAGGCAAAGGACACAGAGTTGATCAATAAAAATAACGTTTTAGACGTCGCTGAATTTTTTTAGAATCATTCATATCGATGGACGATATAAAAAATCCGTAAAGAAAAAAGTCTTAAAAAACCATTTTTTCGTACATACAATTACTTCTTTGACAGTATAAATTGTAGAAAAATCAGTGTATCTCCCTCATCTAGGTTAAATAGCATTAATTGCAGCATAAATCAAATTTGGATTATTCTGACAATGCTATATGATTTTTGAAGTAATATCAAAGTATAGAAAGAGATAAAAACAAATGTTAAAAAAGATGGATAATTTCTGTTACAGATAAAAATTAGGAACTGTTTGATGTGAAAGGATGTGAAGGTCTCTTTTGTTGTTTAACACATAATACTTTATTGAAAACAGATCCTGAGAAATGAGTATTTTCGATGAAAGTCTGCTAGTTTAAACAAGAACCTCCTCGTGTAATCTAAAAATTTCAACATAGTAAAATCAGAAGTAGATAAGATTAGATTGACGCATCGTACTCTCCGAGGGTTTCTGCGTTTGATCGGAGAGTGAGTTTTGGAGTATAACTTTATTTTTGACAATCAAAATGAAAAGTAAGATGTACATTGAGGATTTCAAAATTATGTACGATAAAAATTCAAGGTCATATATCATTTATAAGAAATTAGCCATAATAAGGTGCTGAAAGTCGTTGATGAAAAAATATTAACAATTTTCATGTACTCCTCTAGCTCTTTCTCTAGCATGAATCGTGTTTAAGACTAGAAACGAATCGTAGTTCTTTATGGACATTCTCAGGCTGTGTAAACATCAGACGACCGCAACAACTAGGATTATATAAGCCTACGTATTCCAGTTAACCTATGGATGTTTATATTGAGGTATATAACATAACGTAAACGAAAAGTCACAGATAGGGATAGATCCAAACAGATTAGCTAAGCAAACTGTTTGATCACTTCATGTATGTTCGATAAAAACAAAGTCAGAAGCCCTCAATGATTTTAGAAGAGTAACCCATGAGACTTGTTTTCGTTTGACACGGTGTCCAAACGCGTGTAAACGATGAAATAATAGAAACGCGTTCAATCGATGTTTGTGTTTCGTCTATTGTTTAAACGACTAAAACACGCGTTTCTATTATTTCATCGTTTACACGCGTTTGGACACCGTTTCAAACGAAAACAAAAAAACCATGGGAATATTCTTCATTCAAACTTTTTTAAAGAGTAAATTCTTAAGAGAGAATCTCTACGCATGAAACAAACCAAGAAGTCTACTACAACTACCGGCGTTGTTTTTCTTTATAATCGTAAAATATCAATCTACAATGTACGATACCAGCACTACTAACCAGATACTACTTTCTTTTATCGTGATGAACAGTAGGAAAATAAATAAACAGTATTTCGTTTTTTTAAACATGATTGTACTCTAGGGTATATAAAGAGAGAAAAAAACTGCTAATACAAGTTAACATTACGCAATGGATATTATATCGCAAATATGAATAAATCATTTTTCCGCATGCATAAGCTATATAGTATTATTCATAAAAAAGCAGAAAAGATAATATACAATAGGGATGTGTTTATTAGAGAGGAAATGTACTAAATGGAATTACTACGTTAGGATAACTTATATCTCACATGTAGAGAGTTACCATCAGAATCTGGCTACTCGGTAAAAAAACAGAACAAGAAAAGAAGAAAAAAGAAGATAAAAAGGAAGAGAATAAGATGATTTAGATCAAGGAACAATAAATAAACATTCTACACTATTAGCGTCCTACACTAAAACGATAATCAGTGAGTCAAATATACGCACAAGGCGAGATAAATTATTCAGCAATAGTTGAGTGAAAACTTCCAAAGTTCTAACCTGATCGATAGTTAAACTATTTGTTCCATTTTGACTGCTGTTGACTGTACATTTTCTTCGCCATTTTCTCTCGTTTGAGCGTGGACTTGTTGACGAGCGTGGAACTGGGGATACAGGAGGTGAATCGAAATGCTGGGATTTTGAAAAATTACCTCCATGATTTGTTGTCGTATGACAATTCTAAAATACAGTTGAAGATATCAACTAAGAAACTATCGATATATTCTGTGATTGTACGTGAAGCCAGTGTTCGCTAAAATTTGGGCGAACAATGGTATAGTAACAATGCATTATAACGATAGCATCCCATCAGATACAACCATGCAATAAACCAATAGTTCAACTATTCAATCAGTTATTAAAATTAGTGAACAATTTTGAGCCACAGTGTTCATCTTACTCGTCTCAACAGAGAGAGTCTTTCCGTATTTTGTAATAGATCGTACAACATCAAATATCTTACTTTTGAATAATTTGGCTCGGGAAGTTTTCCACCCGTACGAACAATTTGTAAACCGGCAAATAAATTCTTTCTTGTATCTTCTTGTGAAAGCCACTGAAGAAACAAATCATTAACCATTTTTGCTATTGGTATAGTTGTCATTTTTTCGTCTCTATTTAAATCAAAAATACGCGCATTTATCGTTGTTCTTTTTACTTATTCAATATATTTAAATCATATATATTATGAAGCATTGAACTTCTATAATCTTAAATGAGAAGTTAATCAATATCTATTGAATGAAAAGCAGATGTAGAGTCGGATAATTTCATCAAAACTATATTAGATTTCCAGTCAGTTTGATGAATCTAATCTAAAATTTTCACCATAGATACGATTATACAAGGCGATTCATGACCTGAGTACTGAATCATATCACACTGAAAATCCTGAACTTGGAAATTACTTTAATTTTTAACATTTTATAGTCCAGTCCTCTGTTGTCAAAGTATTTGATCAAAAAGTTGAAAACAATGTCTGTTTAATTGAATGCCAATTCTGACCGTAAAATATCATCCGTAAGTCAGAATTATAAAGTAAATTCATGCGTAGATGCTGCGATCAACAAACACACTTATCTATTTAATATGCCAAAATTCGATTTACGGGTATTCCTTGCTACTGTTATTTTTGTTATTACTCTACAAAAAGTTTTTGATTACATGATCACAATGATTGAAAAGGTGATAGAGTTACGATGGTAATTATCCCAGTCGTTAAAAATAATCTAAAATGAGAAAAAATGAAATTTGCTGAGAATTTACCAACAGAAAATGTAAAACTTTTTATGTAGAATATCTTTTTCGACGAAAATAAACAAAATAAGGGTTGAACTGTTAGTCTATTGCATGGCTGTATCTGATGAGGCTTTGTCATTATAATGTACCGGTACTATACCATTGTTCGCTTAAATTTTAGCGAACACTAGTTTCGCTTACAATCACAGAATATATGGATAGTTTTTCAGATTGTCTTTCATACGTGGTTAAGACACGAGAGAAATTACATTTTGACAATATGGTTTATACAAAAATTACAATTTCACATCTACTGGACCGTTGGTCTGACGTAGTGCTTCGGTGCCTCAAACAAAGAGAAAAATAAATGTCTACTAAAATATTTAATATTCAATGAAGATCTAAAAAATCTAAGTTAATTAAGTGAATATTTGTTATTGAGCGGTTGAACCGAATGATCTATGTATTGTTCCGATAAAAATAGTAGCGTAAAAATGTCATATTGATTACTCTTAGGTATAAAAAGTAAAGCTGAACTATATTTTAGGTAAGAGCAAGAAGATGATGAATATCATCTGTTTGCTTCGAAAATACACGAAAATTAAAATGACGGTTAGTTACAGCATGGTAAATACCTTCTGTAAAAATGAATATTTTCTATTGCAAGATCTAGCTTAAGCTAGCTAAAAAGAAACAATAAGCACACTCAAGCTAGGTAGATGAAGCTAAAAAAAGTCCAAAAAACTTATTTTTTGCTTGGAATTAATAAGCTCGTTTGACACAGTTTTGCAAGAAAAAAAGCGTTTTTAGAAAATTTGTGATATGCGAAAAAAAAATCTATGTTTTTATTTGTCAACCTGGTTGAAAATAGTTCTATAATTTAAGCATCTAATTCAAAAATATTATTGTAACAAACGAAGCAAAAGATGAAATTTTTTCAAAAAATCTATCCTTTGTTTTTTAATTTAAAAAGAACAAAAACTAATGTGTAATATCATACTGTTCTGTTTTTGTCGAATGAAAGACAGTATATTTATAAGATATGTTGATTAAAATAAGGAAAAGCATCAATAAATTGAACGATACTATAACATGTGTTTAAAACCAAAAAGAGGTCAAACAGCTATAAAAAAATGCTAGATACAAAAACAAGTACCACTACGATACTCTGGAATGATATAAAATTTATACTGTTCACAAAAAAAAGTTTAATAAAAAATTACATTGTTTACATATGCAAAATGTACTCTTTGGTTTTTGCATGAAGAAAAAGAATGATTATCGCATGAGTATAAAAAACTATCAGGATGATTGATTGAATCACCAGGAAGAAAGACATTTACTAAATCAAAATGCATCACCATAGAATGAATTTCGACGAAATATCCATTTACTACAATTATTATCAGTTTTTTCTATAACGGTCATCTAAATAAATGAATAGACTATATTTAAATAACTGTCAAAATATCTAATAAGAATACACTAACCGTTAAAAAATCAACGTTCCGAATAACATGGCCCAATGTTTCTGGGCGAAATTGTCCACCACATAATTTTCTCGTCGTTGTTTCAAGTGATGGGGCATGTGCTAAAAGAGAGAAAGAGAGATTTATTGCTATTATATTCTCAATAAACAAGTTTGAAAATATTATTGATTCTATATTCAAAACGAGATATATAATCATCAATTTCTCCTACCTATAAATAACACATGGCTACTCGTGCTTGCACTACCAATACCCTCCTGAACTTGTTGTATTAATTCATTTTCATGTATTTTCAATATTTGTGATGTTACTAAGTGACTTCTCTCATAAAATTCTAATTCATCTTCTAACCTTGATAATGTTGAAAAACTCATCTGTTCTTTATAAGACTTATCAATCTTATATTTATTTTCAATCAACTCTTTTTTCGTCATAAAACGTGGCATTTGTAAAGTATCAGTAGTTTCATTTACATACCATCCCGTACATTCAAATAGACCAGGCTCAATTCTAAAACCGCAAAAGAATACATTATCGTATTGGTCATTTTTTATCAGTTAACTAACCTTATTTTCATCTTATTTTGTAATTGTAAACCTTCTAACATTTTTGCTGCTGTTTGTATACAACGGAGGGATGGAGACGAATAACAATAATTAATATGTATATTTTTTTCTCTCAATACTGTACCAGTATGATACGCATCTTTCAAACCTTTGTATGTTAATGGCGGATCAGCATCAAAATCTTTTATGGCTTGTCGTAATGGTAATGTCTCAGGTAAAATAGGAGAAAAACGACAATAATTTCCGTCATTATCAAATGCTTGACGTAACCATTGTGATGAATAATAACGATCTAAACGTTCACCATGCCGAAGTACAAGTAATCTTACAGGTCCATGTGTGACAACTAACGGCGACAAGGGCCGATAAGCTGTATTTGTTTTAGGATCAAAAGTAGATAATGTAGACGAAGATGGTGGTATGGCTGATGATGATGTTGTTGATGAGCCAAATACTCTACGAAATAATTTTGTGATATTTTTACCTGATGATTTCTTTTTTGTTGGTTTTGTAGAGACTGGTGTTGATTCTTGAGACGCGGCGGCTGTTACTACGCTTGCAGATGATGAAGTTGGACGTGAACTGAAAGTACTGAGTTCATATTTTGAACTTGTTTTTTGTATTGTAAAATCAGTAAGCGAGGAAGAATCAGATTGTGCACCCGCATCATTCTCATCAATTGCAACTGTTTGAATACTTTGATGACTTGAATGAATACCGGAATCATGGTCGTCGAAATCTTCTTCAGTATAATTCAAGGCATTTTTTTGCGTCGGTTGTACTTCTTTCTTTAGAGTATCATCTTCATTGACTTTGTTTTTAATCATCGTTCAACAAGTAAGAAAAAATAATTTGTATTTAAATAACTATCAACTTTTTCGTGTCATCCTATGAACAAAAAGGAGTATTTTGAACTTAATGGTTCAACGAATTAACAGAGACGCATTAGGATGCACTTAAACGTCTATTGAAGCAAAATGCATTTGTTTATATCTCCCAAATTTTTGAAGTCAGGAGTAGATTTAATGTCATTCAACAGCTGGAGAGCTAATGACGTTAACGACATTAATAAATGACTACCACACAGGATCATAGACTTGTAATAAAAATAATTCGTAGCTTACAAAATTGATATTGGTTTTGGCATTTGCATCTAATAAAAACCGATATACGTGTGTCGTACAGTTCTGTTTAGTCGTTTCGCACAATACGTATGAACGCCTACTTCTTTGCGTCGAAATGGATTAAGATTTCTATGAATAGAAAAAATGTTCATACGTATTGTGCGAAACGACTAAACAAGACTGTACGACATAGATATCGGTTCCTATCAAAAGCAACTGCCACAACCGATGTCTGTTTTGTAAGCTACGAATTATTTTTAGAGAATAGGAGAAAAGCATCTCGAACACATTGTGCTTGTCAGACGGGGATAATGTCCACTGTTTCACACCTTTTTGCTCCGATCATTCAGTATAAGTGATAGTCGATGATCCTGATAATGAAACTGGAGGTTATATTTACTCGTATTTAGATGCCTGCACAGGACTTACAATGGGAGCCTGCAAAACTTGAAAATTCAAACTTCTAAGTAAACGTATTTTTCATCGTGTCAAATTGTATAGGGCACCAAATTCTTCATATCCATAATTTTTTTCGGCTAATGATCACATTTTAATAGCATTTAAGACTATCGACTGACTAACCTAGAATGTTTTGAGCAAAAAGGTGTGATATCTAGGGCGTGAAAAGCGAGATAAATACAAATAGGTTCCATAGATAAAATGACGTGAACATTAGCTAAAGTGTACCTAAACATTCGCCAGTATCAGAGTTCTAACAATATTCTAATTGAGCTTACATCATCACATCATCCAGTAATTCATTTAAATCCAGTTTAATTTGGGTATTGTCAAATATATACGGCTTTAAAAAAGTTAGACTAAAATGATAACGTCGTAGCAATGACCTGCTGATGTTTGAAAAAAATGAAACAAAACTAGTCATATTCAATCATTGTACTCAGTAATGCGTGCAATAAATTTCTTCTTTCTTGTTTTTATATACATGAATATGAAAAAAAATCATTTTTTTGTTTATTAAGGTCGACGTCTTACTTTTTTCTCATGATCATATACCAACAAACAGAACAGTTCCTTTTCCAACGAAAAAAAACAAATTATAAAAGCTGAGAACATAAGAGATATCATCTTCCCATCTATAGTACAAAAAAGACGAGAACAAATGATGTCACAGACATCTTCACATGAATAATCAAAATAAAATTATATCAATTCATTAATCAAGCAGATAACAGTCTATTTTTAGCTACGAGTAAACTATAAAAAGAAAAAACAAAATAATGTGTTATTTCAAAACATAATCTCTTAATAAAAACTTAATTAAATTTACTACTCGTCGTATTACACTCTAATTTTTATTAATACAGTAGTCTACGTAACCACTCTGCAAACAAAAAACACTCATAGATTTGTACAAGATTGACAGTAAGCACTCTTAAAATAATGTAGAAACTGCTAAAAAATACCTTACCGATAAAAAATATTTAATCTAAATCTTGTTCATGCTACGAATAAATATAAGAAGAAAAAAAGCTAAACCAATACTTTTTCTATTTGCTTTTTATTTTGTAGATTAACATTTCATCTGTTCAAATTAATAAAGAACTACAATCTCTAATTATTAATTTGTATTTACATTTCTTGCTGACACGAAAAAATAGTTCTATTTATGGAATAAAACATTGATGTGCTAAATATGACTAACTTAATCATATACTGCATGTTTACAAACATGAAACATAGGAAAATTTTCAATGATAATGAAGAAAAAGATAATTGTCTGTTCTAGATGACTACAACAATAATAAAAATATTTTAAAGTAATTATCTATAACACTTCTTGAAATTAAATTTTTAAACTGTCAGAATTTGTATATTCTTAACAATGTTACTTACCGTTCCTATCTTAAACCCTCATGTTGAATTGTAATAAATCTTCCATGATACATTTCTAAGAGGCCATATGTTTATAGATTCCTTGTTACCATAAAATTTTTCTTTTTTTTAATCTACTGCAAACAATAAATACAAAAGATGCAAACATTATACAGTTTTGATTCATCATAGTATTTATCAGTCTACTTGATAAAAAATAACAACTCATTTTCAACTATAGATCGAATAACCATTTGATTCTTCAATATAAAGTAAAATTGATTCGACATATTAACTGAATGGAAAAACAAGAGTTAATTTCGGAATTGCAATTATTTACAATGAAAACAGCAGACATCAATTTATGGTTTGTGAAATCGATAAGTGAAAATATATAAGGATGTGTTTGTTTTTTTCTTACAGAAATACGTAGATGTCCAAATATATCATAGAGTCTATGTATTTGTTTGTAAATCAGTCTGACTTCAGAATCTGATTATTATCGCAATCGATATATATATCACAGATGTGTTGTTATAAATTCCAATATGTTTTTTAACTGATTACTATTTGCTTTTATAAAAACTTGCAAGGACACGTCCGTTCTCCGAAGGAGATGAAAGTTTGAACTTTATTTTTATAGAGAGAATCCACGGGAAAAATGGACTTCGGAAAATGTTGGGGTTTCCATAGTCTTAATTTCTTGTTAAGAATCTAGGCAAGAATGTTAGTAGGTAAGCCTGTGGAAATATAGTCGCGCCAGTGTTTTTGCTAGAAGGTTTGATGTCTCTAGTAAAGGCTCCACAGGAGCAAAGCCGCCAAGTTTTTATGATTATAATCAAATAGTTGTAGTTTGACAAAACATAATATTGAATAAAAATTCAAGATTATTGCTTTCATTATTAAAATGTTGTTTTTTCTTCCTGTTATAGTTTCATATTATTTGTTTGTTTTCTGAATTAGATGAAACCATATCGATACATTTTATATAATTCCATCATAAATTTTACCGCATGATATAATTGCTTTATAGTAATTTAATCATTATTGATTCTGTACTATATTTTTCATTCACCAGTTCAAAATTAAAGCCACTGATCAAGTCATTTTCATGTTTAATACAATATTGTTTTATTATTCGATTTAATTCATGATCATATTCTTGTTTTGTTATAAATGCACACCACTAATAGAAAATTTTTCATACAATCCATAACAATATTATTATAGTTTTCTTCATTTAATTCACGTTCTTGTGTTTGATCGCAGGTTTTTACCTTTCTTTTACGATGAAATATGAATAGGTTACTGTAGACAAACTGATTGTTGGATCCAATCGAATATATTTTAGCTGCTTTATCATTTATTTGAATTCTTATTGATTAGCGAATAATAAACAATTGTTGCTTCAATAATGAATGAATATTTGTTCCAAATCATTTCAAACAATCAAAAACAAATGCATGATAACGCCTTATACATTCTCATACAGACTATCGAGCCGTTATTGAATTTATTTGTCGCTTTTTCATACATTTTACGTTACATATCATCAAATATGGTATCTATGATGTTTATTAAGCTTTTTAGTCAAAATATTGGCTGATGACGAACTCATCAGAGATTGATTGATGATATAACTCAAAAAGTAAATACTGTATTAGTAATTAGTGAAAAATTCGATATATCTGCATATAAAATACATTATTATCACAACATCTTTTCTAAATAAGATCATGTACTAATGCCTAAATATTAACTTCTTTCAAAAACATTTTGATTAAACAAACTACAAATTGCTGTTATAGCCTATTAGACGTGGGACAGTTCTAATTACCATTCCTAGTAACTGTTCATCAGTTACCGTTTTCTTCATAATCAAGATGTAGAAAAGTTGATACACATCTATCTTGTTTTTTATACTGTAATAAATTCATCTAGTTCAGCTCTCACAGACGATACTGTGTGTTTGTGTTTTCCACATAAACAATACACGTATAGAAAATCTTTATTCGACATCCTGTCACGTGAATGTTTCCTTACTATAGGAAGCACCGTTTACCTTTAAAAGAAACTATAGAGCCACAAACATCCCCTGAGAGATCTAAAATCATGTTGATTTGTCTGTAAGCATCAAAGGCTGTTGAACAAAAATTTTTCATACATGTATTGTTTATGTAGGAAACATGACAGTATCGTCTGTGGGAGCTGAACTAGATGAATTTATTACAGTATAAAAAACAAGATAGATGAGTATCAACTTTTCTACATCTTGATTATGAAGAACGGTAACTGATGAACAGTTACTAGGAATGGTAACTGGTGACCAGTTCTTTTAAACAGTTACTAGAAACAATGAGAACTGGAACTGTAGTTACAGCTAGATAATTAATTTTTTTAATATAGAAACAGGCTTGACATTCAACTGGTTAAATTGGACACAGTTTTCTCGTAGGCTTAACTCGTTTGACGTAATATTTAGCATACTGTAGACATGATTAAATATAATACTTAACACACAGAAAATGATAGTATAGATGTTTATTTTCATTTTTTTCATCCATCGGGTGGTTATTGGTTGGAATATCAAGTAATTCACTGGTGTAATCTTATTCGGTGAAGATGTTGAATTTAATGAATATTGTAATAGAATATCGACGTTACCATCTCAGACATCTTTTTTGTATTTGACTATTCACGATCATCAATGTATTGATGCGATTTTGTAACGCACCTAACAAGTAATAATGTCTCGTGTTCAATGATTAAACATTCTCCTCTCTCAAATATTCATGATAAATGAGAAAAGAATCTGGTACCACTTGATGTCTTTTTTTTAGCACCGCTAACACCAGTTTGTATCACACAGT